TTTAAAGCTTAGGGTTTGCCTTTTAAAGGCAACCTAGGAGCATAATACTGCTCTGACCAGGCCTGCAAAGCAAGCCAATGCCAATATAATTCTTTGCACTGTGGTTATATGACTTCTAGGAAAATATGTCATGAGTTCAGATTTTTCCTAGTCCTATCAAAGCTGTACAATGAGAGGTTTCAGAGTAACAGCCGTGTTAGTCTGTATTCGCAAAAAGAAAAGGAGTACTTGTACTTCATGGGAGTGAGCTGTAGCTCACGAAAGCTTATGCTCAAATAAATTGGTTAGTCTCTAAGGTGCCACAAGTACTCCTTTTCTTTGTACAATGAGAGACTTTTCTATATCATTGAAAACACCCCCTCCCATCCATTAAATTAATTATCTCTGCCCAGAATAAGAGACCCCTTGGAACTGATATAATCTTCCTCATGGATGCAATCTCTTTACCATATCTTCCTGTTGATACCTAACGTGTGATGTCCAAAAGTGATTAATGGGAATCTGAGTTGAGACATCTGAAAGGAGTCTGATTTTCAAAAGAGGCCAATCACCTGACTCTTTAAAATCAAGCTACATTAAGGTTTCAAGTTGGGCACCCAAAAATGAAGTAATCAAAAATTACTAGTTACTTTTGAAAATGTAGGTATGGTCCTATTTTTCATTAGCCTATAGGAAAAATACTGTCCAGAATGGAGAGGAAGAGATTTGATGTTAAATGAATGCTGCAAGCTAAGTTCACCAACCTAGAGTTATAAAAGTTAGAGACTTAGAGATGACTTATGGGGCTGGTCTGTGGCCATATCATGTTAAGCCACATATCCTGAATTAAGATCCAGGTTTGTTCAGTACTTGTTTACAGAACCTCTGGACAACATTTAGGTCATACCAGCATTACTGGTGTTAATGATTCAGCACAAAACAGCATTTGTTTGGAATCAATACTGGAGCAATGTAACCGTATGCCGCCAACAGGCAGAGGGATATTGGAGGTTCTGTTTTACATATGAAACATAAAACTAAGGTCTGGTTCAACTGGGGTCACTAGTGGTCACTAATGGTTGCATGACGGTGGGGATTGCCTCACTGTTTCTGAAGGAGGCTAGAAGCAAGGAGGATTTTAGTTCTCTGGGGGCTGAGTTCACCTTTATAACTTAATTGGAGTGGAGATTTTTCTAATTACTTCTCCTGGTGGTATAGCCCATGCTGGCCCATTTCTATTTTTGAGATCTAGTATATTTGCTCATCCTGATTACTTTAGCTGGAGCACTGTTATAATTTGGTATTTTGTTGTACTTAAAGGGGTCTCTCTCATTCCTTAACTCTTCCTTATATTTCTTAACCTCTCTAAAAGGCCACTGAGAAATTATCACCAGCATGTTAAACACACTCCTCTTCCCCTGCCCCCAATAAAAAAACACTTGCCTAATACTGCTTTCCTCTGGAGAGGCAGGGGGAGCAATGGTAGCCATACAAGTTTGAAATGTCAGAATCTGACCAAAGGGTGAAATCCTAGCTCCACTGAAGTCAGTGGGAGTTTTGCCATTGACTTCAATAAAGGCAGAATTTCACCCTAGATTTATAACCGACAAGAAACAGTTAAAAGAACATTAAGCATGGTGTAACTGAGAATCAGTCTCATGGGGTCTGAAGTACAGGTGCAGAATTGGAGTGTAAATGCACTTTGTGCTACCATTGTAAGAGACAGCTGTTTGTTCCATGGAAAAATCGCAATAATGTGAACTTTAAGGCATGTTTTTGTTTGAAGCTTACTGACAATTCTGAAACTAATTATCATGACAATACACCTTCAGAGTTGGAGCTTCCCCAACAACTGCTCTCCTCCCTCCGCCCACATTTTTCAAAATACCTTTCTATAAAGACAGGTTTCAGAGTAGCAGCCATGTTAGTCTGTATTCGCAAAAAGAAAAGGAGTACTTGTGGCACCTTAGGGTATGTCTACACTACGGAATAAGGTCGAATTTATAGAAGTCGGTTTTTTAGAAATCGGTTTTATATATTCGAGTGTGTGTGTCCCCACAGAAAATGCTCTAAGTGCATTAAGTGCATTAACTCGGCGGAGCGCTTCCACAGTACCGAGGCTAGAGTCGACTTCCAGAGCGTTGCACTGTGGGTAGCTATCCCACAGTTCCCGCAGTCTCCGCTGCCCATTGGAATTCTGGGTTGAGATCCCAATGCCTGATGGGGCTAAAACATTGTCACGGGTGGTTCTGGGTACATATCGTCAGGCCCCCATTCCCTCCCTCCCTCCGTGAAAGCAAGGGCAGACAATCGTTTCGCGCCTTTTTTCCTGAGTTACCTGTGCAGACGCCATACCACGGCAAGCATGGAGCCCGCTCAGGTAACCATCACCCTATGTCTCCTGGGTGCTGGCAGACGCGGTACGGCATTGCTACACAGTAGCAGCAACCCCTTGCCTTGTGGCAGCAGACGGTACAGTACGACTGGTAGCCGTCATCGTCATGTACGAGGTACTCCTGGCCACGTCGGCTGGGAGCGCCTGGGCAGACATGGGCGCAGGGACTAAATTTGGAGTGACTTGACCAGGTCATTCTCTTTAGTCCTGCAGTCAGTCCTATTGAACTGTCTTATGGTGAGCGGGCAGGCGATACGGACTGCTAGCAGTCGTACTGTACCATCTTCTGCCGAGCAGCCATGAGATGTGGATGGCATGCAGTCCTTCTGCACCGTCTGCTGCCAGCCAAAGATGTAAAAGATAGATGGAGTGGATCAAAACAAGAAATAGACCAGTTTTGTTTTGTACTCATTTGCTTCCCCCCCTCCCCTGTCTAGGGGACTCATTCTTCTAGGTCACACTGCAGTCACTCACAGAGAAGGTGCAGCGAGGTAAATCTAGCCATGTATCAATCAAAGGCCAGGCTAACCTTCTTGTTCCAATAAGAACAATAACTTAGGTGCACCATTTCTTATTGGAACCCTCCGTGAAGTCCTGCCTGAAATACTCCTTGATGTAAAGCCACCCCCTTTGTTGATTTTAGCTCCCTGAAGCCAACCCTGTAAGCCGTGTCATCAGTCGCCCCTCCCTCCGTCAGAGCAACGGCAGACAATCGTTCCGCGCCTTTTTTCTGTGCGGACGCCATACCAAGGCAAGCATGGAGGCCGCTCAGCTCACTTTGGCAATTAGGAGCACATTAAACACCACACGCATTATCCAGCAGTATATGCAGCACCAGAACCTGGCAAAGCGATACCGGGCGAGGAGGCGACGTCAGCGCGGTCACGTGAGTGATCAGGACATGGACACAGATTTCTCTGAAAGCATGGGCCCTGCCAATGCATGCATCATGGTGCTAATGGGGCAGGTTCATGCTGTGGAACGCCGATTCTGGGCTCGGGAAACAAGCACAGACTGGTGGGACCGCATAGTGTTGCAGGTCTGGGACGATTCCCAGTGGCTGCGAAACTTTCGCATGCGTAAGGGCACTTTCATGGAACTTTGTGACTTGCTTTCCCCTGCCCTGAGGCGCATGAATACCAAGATGAGAGCAGCCCTCACAGTTGAGAAGCGAGTGGCGATAGCCCTGTGGAAGCTTGCAATGCCAGACAGCTACCGGTCAGTTGGGAATCAATTTGGAGTGGGCAAATCTACTGTGGGGGCTGCTGTGATGCAAGTAGCCCACGCAATCAAAGATCTGCTGATATCAAGGGTAGTGACCCTGGGAAATGTGCAGGTCATAGTGGATGGCTTTGCTGCAATGGGATTCCCTAACTGTGGTGGGGCTATAGACGGAACCCATATCCCTATCTTGGCACCGGAGCACCAAGCCGCCGAGTACATAAACCGCAAGGGGTACTTTTCGATAGTGCTGCAAGCTCTGGTGGATCACAAGGGACGTTTCACCAACATCAACGTGGGATGGCCGGGAAAGGTGCATGATTCTCGCATCTTCAGGAACTCTGGTCTGTTTCAAAAGCTGCAGAAAGGGACTTTATTCCCAGACCAGAAAATAACTGTTGGGGATGTTGAAATGCCTATATGTATCCTTGGGGACCCAGCCTACCCCTTAATGCCATGGCTCATGAAGCCGTACACAGGCAGCCTGGACAGTAGTCAGGAGCTGTTCAACTACAGGCTGAGCAAGTGCAGAATGGTGGTAGAATGTGCATTTGGACGTTTAAAGGCGCGCTGGCGCAGTTTACTGACTCGCTTAGACCTCAGCGAAACCAATATTCCCACTGTTATTACTGCTTGCTGTGTGCTCCACAATATCTGTGAGAGTAAGGGGGAGACGTTTATGGCGGGGTGGGAGGTTGAGGCAAATCGCCTGGCTGGTGGTTATGCGCAGCCAGACACCAGGGCGGTTAGAAGAGCACAGGAGGGCGCGGTACGCATCAGAGAAGCTTTGAAAACCAGTTTCATGACTGGCCAGGCTACGGTGTGAAAGTTCTGTTTGTTTCTCCTTGATGAAACCCCCCACCCCTTGGTTCACTCTACTTCCCTGTTAGCTAACCACCCGCCCCTCCTCCCTTCAATCACCGCTTGCAGAGGCAATAAAGTCATTGTTGCTTCACATTCATGCATTCTTTATTCATTCATCACACAAATAGGGGGATGACTACCAAGGTAGCCCAGGAGGGGTGGTGGAGGAGGGAAGGAAAATGCCACACAGCACTTTAAGCACAGCACTTTAAAAGTTTACAACTTTAAAATTTATTGAATGACAGCCTTCTTTTTTTGGGGGCAATCCTCTGTGGTGGAGTGGCTGGTTGGCCGGAGGCCCCCCACCGCGTTCTTGGGCGTCTGGGTGTGGAGGCTATGGAACTTGGGGAGGAGGGCGGTTGGTTACAGAGGGGCTGCAGTGGCAGTCTGTGCTCCAGCTGCCTTTGCTGCAGCTCAACCATACACTGGAGCATACTGGTTTGGTCCTGCAGCAGCCTCAGCATTGAATCCTGCCTCCTCTCATCACGCTGCCACCACATTTGAGCTTCAGCCCTGTCTTCAGCCCGCCACTTACTTCTTCAGCCCGCCACTTACTCTCTTCAGCCCGCCACCTCTCCTCCCGGTCATTTTGTGCTTTCCTGCACTCTGACATTATTTGCCTCCACGCATTCGTCTGTGCTCTGTCAGTGTGGGAGGACAGCATGAGCTCGGAGAACATTTCATCGCGAGTGCATTTTTTTTTCTTTCTAAGCTTCACTAGCCTCTGGGAAGGAGAAGATCCTGTGATCATTGAAACACATGCAGCTGGTGGAGAAAAAAAAAGGGACAGCGGTATTTAAAAAGACACATTTTATAAAACAGTGGCTACACTCTTTCAGGGTAAACCTTGCTGTTAACATTACATACATAGCACATGTGCTTTCGTTACAAGGTCGCATTTTGCCTCCTCCCATCGCGTGACTACCCCCTCAACCTTCCCCCCTCCCTGTGGCTAACAGCGGGGAACATTTCTGTTTAGCCACAGGCAAACAGCCCAGCAGGAATGGGCTCCTCTGAGTGTCCCCTGAAGAAAAGCACTCTATTTCAACCAGGTGACCATGAATTATATCTCACTCTCCTGAGGATAACACAGAGAGATAAAGAACGGATGTTGTTTGAATGCCAGCAACCATACACTGCAATGCTTTGTTCTACAATGATTCCCGAGTACGTGTTACTGGCCTGGAGTGGTAAAGTGTCCTACCATGAAGGACGCAATAAGGCTGCCCTCCCCAGAAACCTTTTGCAAAGGCTTTAGGACTACATCTAGGAGAACCGCAAATGCCAGGGCAAAGTAATCCTTTCACATGCTTGCTTTTAAACCATGTATAGTATTTTAAAAGGTACACTCACCAGAGGTCCCTTCTCCGCCTGCTGGGTCCAGGAGGCAGCCTTGGGTGGGTTCGGGGGTACTGGCTCCAGGTCTAGGGTGAGAAACAGTTCCTGGCTGTCGGGAAAACCGGTTTCTCCGCTTGCTTGCTGTGAGCTATCTACAACCTCCTCCTCATCATCATCTTCTTCGTCCCCAAAACTTGCTTCCGTATTGCCTCCATCTCCATTGAAGGAGTCAAACAACACGGCTGGGGTAGTGGTGGCTGAACCCCCTAAAATGGCATGCAGCTCATCATAGAAGCGGCATGTTTGGGGCTCTGACCCAGAGCGGCTGTTCACCTCTCTGGTTTTCTGGTAGGCTTGCCTCAGCTCCTTCAGTTTCACGCGGCACTGCTTCGGGTCCCTGTTATGGCCTCTGTCCTTCATGCCCTGGGAGATTTTGACAAAGGTTTTGGCATTTCGAAAACTGGAATGGAGTTCTGATAGCACGGATTCCTCTCCCCAAACAGCGATCAGATCCCGTACCTCCCGTTCAGTCCATGCTGGAGCTCTTTTGCGATTCTGGGACTCCATCATGGTCACCTGTGCTGATGAGCTCTGCATGGTCACCTGCAGCTTGCCACGCTGGCCAAACAGGAAATGAGATTCAAAAGTTCGCGGTTCTTTTCCTGTCTACCTGGCCAGTGCATCTGAGTTGAGAGTGCTGTCCAGAGCGGTCATAATGGAGCACTCTGGGATAGCTCCCGGAGGCCAATACCATCGAATTGTGTCCACAGTACCCCAAATTCGAGCCGGCAACGTCGATTTAAGCGCTAATCCACTTGTCAGGGGTGGAGTAAGGAAATCGATTTTAAGAGCCCTTTAAGTCGAAATAAAGGGCTTCATTGTGTGGACGGGTGCAGGTTTACATCGATTTAACGCTGCTAAATTCGACCTAAAGTCCTAGTGTAGACCAGGGCTTAGAGACTAACAAAATAAATTTGTTAGTCTCTAAGGTGCCACAAGTACTCCTTTTCTTTTTCTATAAAGACCGAGTCTTGACCTGACTTGCTCGATTCTTCAAAAACATGCAGAATTTTAGTGCTTTCCTTTTTGTCTGCTTTGGATAAATAAAGAGTTATACCAGAAACTTGGAAGTGAGAGGGGAAAAAACCATTTATTCCCTGACATTATTGAATCAGTACAGGCACAGCATAAACATAATTAAGAGTTAGTTGAGTTGATTTTTCTTGGAATGACAATTTCACTTTGTTTTTTTGTAAAGCTGTATCATGATTGAAGAGAAGAAATAAATTTTCTTAAAATGATGCCAAACTGTTAGTGACAAAATAATTTTAAAAAGTTAAAAGGAGGCTTAATGACAACACCTTGAGTGGTGATAATCGTAATGCTGCTGTAGCTAAATCCTTAGATGATTGATTGTTTCAGTGTCTGAATATTCTTTTTGAGGCTGCTCTGGATATTTCTCCCTGTTGTACATTCTGAAACAATATCAAGACATTAATTTAAAATGTGTTCTCTTCTTACTGAAGTATCTACACGGTGGCTCTTTTGAGAGCATAATCCACATTTTACTCTCCTTTTCGTATGACCCGAAGTGCGTTGTTTTTATTAACAAGTATTTTTTCCCATTAGTGGTGAAGTATTTGAGAAAATGAAAATAAAGGTGTTTGAAAAAAACAAATCAAGAGACTCATGGTCTTTTCTCTAAAAGTTGGGTTGGTAGTGTTAGTGTGCTGGCCCTATTCCAATACAATAGTTACATTTGGCATGACTAGATCAGCCCTTCACTTTTAGGTCCTGATTCCAAAAAGCACCACTAGTTAAGGCAACACTTAATTACATGCTTAAATATTTCCTGATTCCAGGCTGTAACATGGCATGCCCTCACTGACACGGCACCTCCTGCTAGTTACCTCTGGAATTAGCTCATCCCAGCCTCCGAGCACCTCCTGCTGGCTGGTGTCTCCCTACTGGTACCTGCTTCCTTTCCTTCTCCACCACTGTAGTTCAGGCCCCGCAACCCTCCTGACCCACAGTGCCTCTTCTCTTGGGTACTGCCCCATGGCAGTACCCCCACACTCAGGGTCCTCCCCTCCCCAGGGAGCCCCAATCCCCTAAGCCCACCTCACCTCAATGACCCACTGCCAGTCTTTATCTAGCCCCTTCCCTCAGGGACAAACTGCAGTCTGAAGTGGCCACTCTTCTTCAACCAGGGGGTTAGACCTGTGGCCTCTTCCTCCCCTGGCTGCTTCCCCACAGCCCTAGTACCTCCTCTGGCCCCAAAAGCAAGGCCTCTGCCTGGGGGTTTGCCAGGCTGGAGGTTCCCCAGCTCCTCCTGCCCTTCCTCAGCACTTCACTGGCCAAAGTACCCTTTTCTTCTTCAGGCAGCCAGGTCCATCTCTCTCCAAAGCTGGAGAGAGACTGACTGCTTTTTGGCCCTGCAGCCCTTTTATGGGGCCCAGCCTGGCCCTGATTGGCTGCCTCCCAGCCTTCTCTGATTAGCTCCCAGCCCTCTCCAAGGGCTGGCTTTTAACCCCTTCTAAACCAGAGCAGGGTGACTGCCCCGCTACACAGGCCATGGTGCGGTACACTATCCTTCTCAGGTCTTGTCTCACTCTTTTGTGGAGTGGAACAATGTGCTGTAAAACAGCTCTTGTGAAGCCCCACACAGGTAACTGCAGTTCTATGGTGGGTAAAGTGCTCCCATTATTATTTGTATTATTGTAGCACCGAGGAGCTCTAGTCATGGACCAGGGCCCCACTGTGCTAGGTGCTGTACAAAAACAGAACAAAAAGATGCTCCCTACCTCAAGGAGTGTACAATTTAAGTATAAGAAAAGCGATAACAGATGGTTACAGACACATGGGAGAGTACAAGTAAACAATGAGACAATATTGGTTTATGTAGATTATACAGAACTTTTGGCCCCAATGAAATAAAAAGCATTGCCTTTGAAAGTCTGCCTCATGCCATGGTGCACATAAGCCTGGCAAGGACAGAATTGAGCCTCTAAAAAAAATCTAACCCTGCCCAGGTTTATTTAACCTACAGTTCTTAGTTGTGTTTAGAATTTAACCAGAAGGCACAAATGCTTGCTCCTTGTCTGCGTTTGTGTTAAAAGCAGGTGTTAGCAGGTGTTAAAACACAACTGGAAATTTTAGTATATACAAATCCTTAAAAGGAGGCTATGTTATATGGATAATAAATAGCCTAAATTACAAACTGTAATATCCATTTGATAAATTTAACCTGTAATCACTTTTTTCAAGTTTTCTGTCTACTGCTGTTGTCTGAGCAGTGATTGTTTCATAAGCTATTTTGCTGCTACCTCAGGTGGATATGGTTAAATAGAAGGATTTGTGTGTCTTTAATTTTTCAACAGAAACATTTAAGCTTGAGGTCTACACATTTTCCAAAGAGGGTTGTTTTGGTACCAAAAAAGCAGCACTATATGCTTCAGAAATGGAAAAGCCCCACCTTGCCTTTGTGGTTTGTGGTGCAGTTATGGACAGGTACTGTGGACAATACACATCCCTTTATGCACCAGTATCAGTCTGAATTCTTTCCTTTAATTCTCAATAATGATTCTGAAAGGAAAGGTATTAGCTTGACATCACTACAGTCAAAAATCCTTTATCCACTAAACAGCCGCACTGCTGCAGCCGATGCTGTAAGCGTCTGTCACGGAGTCCCTGGGCGATGCTCTGGAACTGCTCCCCATGAAGTCAGTCAGGACTCTGGGGTAGTCGCCTTTCTGTGAGCAGCCTGTCTTCAGGACACACAGCTCACACAGCTTCCACCTTCCTGGGTCTGACCTCGGAGCATTCAGCATCCTCTGCCCCTCCGTGCGCTTTCCCACAGCAAGTCCGCTCAGGCGGGGCTCCTGGGGAAGCCAGAGGGTCCTGCACCCCAACTTCGCAGTCAGACGTGACTCTCAGCCAGCCAGTAAAACAGAAGGTTTATTAGACGACAGGAACATGGTCTAAAACAGAGCTTGCAGGTGCAGAGAACGGGACCCCTCAGCTGGGTCCATTCTGGGGGGCAGTGAGCCAGACAACCACGTCTGCACTTCACTCCATGTCCCAGCCAGCCCCAAACTGAAACCCCCCTCCAGCCCCTCCTCCTCTGGGCTTTGTTCCTTTCCCGGGCCAGGTGGTCACCTGATTCCTTTGTTCTCCAACCCTTTAGCTCTCACCTTGCAGGGGGGGAAGGGCCCAGGCCATCAGTTGCCAGGAAACAGGGTGTCGGCCATTCTCTGTGTCCAGACTCCTGCACACACCTGCCCTCTAGGGCTCTGCAATGATCATACACCCTTACCCCACCCCCTAGATACTTAAGAACTGCCATGGGGAAACTGAGGCACCCCCACACTATTCAGAGGAAACATTAAGAACAGTCCCACTTCGTCACAGCTTCCTAGCACTATCCTGCTGCTTTGATCAGTCCCCATTTCAGGCATTTCTAGTTGTGGAGTATTTCATACTCCACCATAATTCAGTCCTTAGACTCTCAGTTGTATTACCATATGGTACTTGGGCACCTCAGAAATACCTAAACAGCTGCCAATAGTGGCTGCACCTGTGCTGTGGACAAATATTCATTAAATCCAGGATTAAACTAAAAGAAAAGGAGGACTTGTGGCACCTTAGAGACTAACAAATTTATTTTAGCATAAGCTTTCGTGAGCTACAGCTCACTTCATCGGATGCAAGTGAGCTGTAGCTCACGAAAGCTTATGCTTAAATAAATTTGTTAGTCTCTAAGGTGCCACAAGTCCTCCTTTTCTTTTTGCGAATACAGACTAACATGGCTGCTCCTCTGAAACTAGGATTAAACTAGTGAACTCATTTCACACAAAACTTCACTGGTGTCAGACAGGAACATGTTTCGGCCATTAGTGAACTGGGAAGAGCCTGACTAGGGTGAAAGACTCTATAATCTCTTACCAGCAGGTCAAGCCATTCAGTCTCCCACAAAGCAATTACTTTTAGTTAGCAAAAACACTGACACCAAACTGAATACTTCAGGAAAAGTACATGGAAAAAAGTTAGTTGATTAGAATTCATGCTTTATATATATAAAGCATGAATATATATCAGCAGTTGTGGTTAGAAGAAATAGGTGGGCAAGTCTTTAAAATGAGTCTGTCTAGATCCATTTTTTCCAGAATGTGTCCATGGTGTATATTCAGTTACTTAAGTTTGTAGAAGTATCTCAGACCAGACCCTGGAGAGTCTGGTGTTTGTGGTAAGCCTAGGAGTGAGGGAGATGTTACTAAAGCTGAAAATACTCCAAAAAATATTATTAAAATGTCAGACAACAGCGCCATGGGACACTATCAGACACAGACTAAAACAGAATGGAAAAAGTGTAATTATCCATAAGAACCACCAGCTAGTTACTTAATAGAAATCACATGGTCTGTATCCTGTGGTTAACATTTTAGCTGCTCCACATACACTTCAGTGAGCATAACCTATTATATTTCATTCACATGCTTTTTGGAAGAAGGGTGGTAGGTTTCTGAAAGATAAACATCCAATTTACTGTTTCCCACTCGCAACATATCCTTCCCCCTTTGCCTATGTATTATTTTAATAATGTTTTGACAGAGGATAAGATGCAATGAAATAGTGCATTGTGCTGGGCTGTCAAACACCCTTTATGAAGTAGATAAATCAGAGAACGGATGTAATTTTGGCATTTATTTTTCCTTTCGCAAAATGTCATTGCAATATGGAGTTCAGCCACATTTCAAAGTAGTAAGACTTTCCTTTTCTACCAATAGATGATTTCTTATTCAGAAATAATATTTCTAGTAAACAAAGAGCATCTCTAAATTAATGTTCCACTTATGTCATGCTTTTCCAGGTATAAGAAGCCACTAGAACTTCAGGAAATTTGGATGTCAAAACAGGTAAGCTAGAGTGGAAAACAGTTGGTACAGAAACAGGCAAAAAATTTCTACCTATCTATGCTAC